TCTATATCCAGATTCACAGGCAGCACAAAGAGAGAGTAACACTGGGCCTGGCTTGAACTTTTGAAACCTCAAGTCCCTCCCAGAGTGACACACTTCTACCAACAAGGTCACACCTATTCCAATAAGGCCACATCTCCTAATACTTCTCAAGTAGGGCAACTCCCTGATAATTAAACATCCAAATATATAAGCCTCTGGAGGCCATTTTTATTCAAACTACCACATGGAGTATCCCCCAAATACCCAAAATGACAATGGCAGACCATTGGGACCACTGTCGAACACACTACTTCCAAGTGTCAGCCATAATGCATTCAACCTGTGTGGCCTCGGGCCACACATATCTTTAGCATGATTAATAAAAACCCAGAGGCAGGAATTGAGGTTCATCCTGAAGGTCAGAAAAGCAAAGCAGCCAGTCACTGACCCTTACCTCTGTCTCAGACTGAAATGATGATCTGCTTCCAGGAATCTCATAGACTGTGTATGAGAGCTGTCTCCTCTCGTCTTACATTCCTCTCTAGTGCTTGGATTAAAGGTGTGCACCACAACCACCAGGTTTTTATGGCAAACTACTGTGGCTATTGGGTTTAAAGGTATGTCACCAGTCACCATTTACTGGTCTGTAATACTGATCAGTGTGACTGTTTTACTCTCTGAAGTTTTTTTACTCAAGCAAACTTTATTTATTAAAATACAACTGAAATATCACTACACATATCCAAAAATTACTCGCCTTGGAGTGTAGCTTTAGTTTATCTGAAGCACTGTCTCAACTCTTTCTTTTCTGGGGACATTCATCATGTGACAGGCACACTCACTTCCCTGGATTTGAACAATGTGCAAACAATGTCTTCTGACCTTCCCACTGGATTCTGCTCCTTCAACTGCAAAATACCCCTTGGGAATATTTACCTCCCAACTCTAAGCAGCACAGCTCCAAAACACTAAAAAAAAAAAAAAAATTATCATGTTTTTCTTCCATTCCAACCAGGTGGGCATGTGCAGGATCAGATTTTGACACAGCAAAGAGCAGAAACTGAGGAAAAACCCCACATCTTAGCCCCGAGCTTCCCTGGGCATAGGTCTCACTGCAGCTCTTGGCTTTCTCTGGGCACAGAGTTCCACTGATGCTTGAGTCTTGTCCTTGGAAATCTCTGTTATAGGGTGGACCTGGCATTAGGGTGCTTAAAGATGCCCATGGGCTAGCCTCACATACTCCCACCCTTGAGAAAGATACTGACTTAGTAAATTGGGACATTTGAGGGGAAAGAACTAAGCTAGCTCTGCTCTGTGTACCTCCTTGTTTTCAGATTCTGCCTGTAGACAAGGATAGACTTGGTCAGGTGGTTAGCTAAGGGTCCAGGTATCTGGCTGTGGTTGGCTAAGGGTCCAGGTATCCATCTATGGTTGGCTAAGGGTCCAGGTATCCTGCTGTGGTTGGCTAAGGGTCCAGATATCCATCTATGGTTGTCTGGGGTACGGGTATCTGGCTGTTGTTAGCCACAGGTCTAGGTATCCATCCAGATGTGCCTGTGAGTCGTTGGGTGCGGTCTTGATCAAGCCCACCTGGCTCCAGGCCAGCTCATTTTGCTCCTTTGGTCACATCTGACAATTAAACTGCTGTTTGTGTCCCTGTCCTGTTTCCCTCTTGGTTCTAATCATAAAAGTAGGGTCTAGTTTTTTGGCTTGCCCAAGAACCTCAGTTGCTTTTTAAGTCAGCAGACAAGCAGACAAACAAGAGTCTCTGCTTACCCTGGGCATTTTCTCTTCATGAGACTGAATAATTACAGTGAGCTACATTACCTTAAAATAATCTGGAATAGAAATCACAGGCTGGTCTCATAAATAGTTAACTTTAAAACTTGCCAACTCTCTACAATTTTGAAGTAAAGACAGCTGGAGTAACAAAGTTAACTTTGAAGAAATTCTTAAAAGTATCACTATTACTCAAAATATATTGGATTTTTTAATTCCATAAAAGAAACTAGGTTATAATGACTAAAAGTCTTCCACTGAAACCTGTTCCTAGAATCCTCAGCTCCTAGGGCCACCATGCCAGAGCTAGCACGTAACCAGATGTCCTCAAAGGGTATTCGGATGCCTGGAGCCTGTGAATTTGGAAGGAAGGAACAAATCCTTGTGAAGACAGATGTACACAGAAGCATTGCTCTCACAGACTCTGGATGTCCTTTGTGTGACCCCAACTAAGCTATGTTTCATCTTCAAATTGCTGTTTCATCTTCTTTTCAAGTCATCAGAAATTTAGACTCAAGTCACTCGTGAGTGCAGTGTGATTAGGGAGCTGTGGACAAATTCTGTGGAAAGAAACTTGGCTTCACGTGTCAAATGGGTGCAAGAAACTGCTGTTTGGCAACTTAGAGAGCTCTGGGAGATTTATTTATAAATGCAACTCTACATGGTGTGAAGTTTGGAAATGGAAATCAAGAGTTTCACAGGGCCCTTAGCTTTCAGAATTCACGGATTTTCATTGCCAAGGGGACCCAGTAAATACAGGTGCTCTGTAAGTCTTCACTAGATTAAAAAAGTTAGCTATCTATATCTATATCATCATCTATATATGTGTACATACATACACTCACAGTCAGAAACAACTAGAAAGAAGCAGGGAGAACATGGCAGTTCTTATAGTGACAAAAACTAACCTGGGAGCTATATATGATGGTTTAAATGAGAAATGCCCTCCATAAGCTCTGTCATTTGAGCAGTTTGTTTTCAGTTAACAGCATTATTTAAGGGAGTTTGAGTGCACTTTGAGATTAAATGGCCTCATCCTATTTCCATTTCACTCTCTGCTTTCTGTTTGAGATTGAAGATACGATTGCTCAGCTGCCTGCTCCAGCTGCCATGCCTACACTTGGGTCTGTGTCTCCCTACCATGCCCTCTGAAACCATTAGCGAAGGTCACCTTTCTTCTGTGACTCGTTTTGCTATGGTGCTTGGTCCCATCCACAGGGAAATAACCAGTACACTATGCTTGCATCATATGACCAAAGAGTCTAACTAATATAAGCATATAGAACACTGTTCAAGTGTTCTACTCTGGCAGCTATCAAAACACATTCAGACTTTAGAGGGTTTTGTTTATGAGTATGAAGTATGTAAGAAATATAAAGTATGTAAAAATATGGTTTGGGCCCAAATGCATTTTTCAACACGTTTAGACATTACAAGAAGCATATGTATCTGAGTGTTTTTGTTTTGTTCTTAGTTTCATTTTTCATTTTCATTTTTGGTTTAGGTTAGGTGCTGGACATTAAACCCAGCGCCTTGCATAGGCTAAGCACATGGTTGGCCTTGTGCTATCCCTCTGGCCCATCATTTGCCTTATGTTTGATATAGACATTGTCAAGCCTGTTAGCTATAAAGGGCACATTCTCCTGGTCATCCAGAAGAGTGGTGTCAGAACTGACTCTGCATGGCCACAAAACAACTCCTTTAATGTTGCATATCTTGTGCTCATAGTCAAGACAAAATGAGCAACTTTACGGTGCGGAGGCTCTTCCCAGTGATTCACAAGCTCCGTGGTAGTTAAGGGTCTGTCAGTCAAACTAGCATCTAGGTTGCTAGGGAATTCAAGTTTAGCTTAGGCTCAAAGCCACACAAAATCTGTTTAGTGTTCAAAGTCTGGGACCAGAGTTGAGATAGATTTCAAAGGAGTTGTTTTGTTTGTTTGTTTGTTTGCTTGTTTTAAAAAATAAAGCCTATTTAATTCTGGAGGACTAGTTTGGGAAATTTCTTGCAAATACTGGAAGGCAGAATGATTAAAGACTAAAATTAGGGATTTCATGGCCAACTATGAATTTCGCTGATTCTTATTTCCCTTCCTCATAATAAAAATAAAATTGGTTGGTTAAGTGTGCACCTGGATTTGGTTATAAGTGTTCAAATCTTCCTCACTTGGAAATACTTCACAACAATCTTTAAAAAAAAATATTACTAATATGCTTTGCCCGAAACTCTTGGCATTTGTTCCTGGAAGAAAATTTTAACCATTTTGGATCAAATCCTTAAGAAGTAGCAGGGCGTACTCAGAGTCCTGTTGAACAGTCTAGAGACCTGAAGAAATAGAACTGAAACCCACTCTGCCACCCAATCATGGATATGAATATCATGCAAGCTGTGGTAGCAAGAGCAAGGGGTTTTCAGTACAGACTGCTGTGTTAGTGAGCTTATTTTAAGACACATTACTAGTTGTTTTGGAATTCTTTCTCGTGACCAAAATCTCTCATTCCTTTTTTTTTTTTTATGTACTTCATCCTCTGGGTGTCTTGTCATTGTTAACAAAGAAGATGAATCTTTTCCAATACTTGATCAAGTATTGGCAATCATGCTGTCCAGCTAGTGAATCCAAGGGTGTATTAGGAGTGGCACGCAATAAGAGGTCTCCAGGACCCCAGCATAGGCTGTATACATGTTCACACCTTTCCAGACTCTGGAAGGGTTTTATAGCCTATCTGTTAACAATCCTCAGGTATGTGTATATGTTGTGACCTAAACCACATGCTCACTGTTTTCTAAAATAACAAATAAAATAACAGGACAACGATTCTCAACTAAGAATGTCTTGATGTCATTGTAAATGTTCTCCATTTGGAGAATTCAGGCCATCTACTCCATGTAGAGGAGTTGATAAAGTGGTTTGACTTGCGAAAGTTTCTAACATCCTAATATTCATAGAAAGTAATATAATACAGCCTGACACCCTCATACGAAATGAAGCAAGATTGACAGAGTCGACCTACAGGTCTGAAGCTATTGAAGTAATTGCTGAGTACTACAGTTACCAAAATAACTCCCTACCGATTTGTGCTAGGCCTGTTCTGTTGAGTCTATGTCTCAGATGAGTAAGCAAAAATATGCTCAATGAAAATGAATGATGTGTGGCTTATATTTCTGGCATGTACTCACACAACAAATTCACAAGTCAAGGCATTAATCTGTGATAGATACTGAAAAGAAACACTTTAAAATGGGAGGCTGGATCAGAATGTAGCCCAGATGAGTCTGATTGAAGCCAAGATGAGATTCATTCAAGCTTGGCAGTCTCTGCCTGAGTTCGGCATCACACACTTCATTGCGAGATTTCAAGGTGGCAAGAGAGAAGAACTTATTGGAATTGCATACAACAGATTGATTCGGATGGATGCCATCACGGGAGATGCCATCAAAACATGGCAGTTCAGCAACATGAAGCAGTGGAATGTCAACTGGGAGATCAAAATGGTCACCGTGGAGTTTGCAGATGAGGTCCGGTTGTCCTTCATCTATACTGAAGTAGACTGCAAGGTGGCCCATGAGTTCATTGGTGGTTACATATTTCTCTCAACTCGGGCCAAAGACCAGAATGAGAGCTTAGATGAGGAGATATTCTACAAACTCACCAGTGGTTGGGTGTGAACAGGAAACTGTGTAAAGAAACTGCACAGCCATAACAATATTTAACTTTAAAGCTATTGTTTCTTATATGCTGCTTAATAAAGTAAGCCTGAAATTTAAAAAAAAAAAATGGGAGGCTGGAGAGACAGTTAAGGCGTTAAGAGGGTTTGCTGCTCTTCTAGGGGACCCAAGCACTCGGATTAGAGGAGTTCACAACCACCTATAACTCCCAGTCAAGGGACTAATGCTCTCTCCTGGCCTCCAAAGGCACCTACACACACACAGCATGCACACTCATAAACATAAGTGGCTTTGGGGGCGTTTGGGAGGATTGTTTTTAAATTTTATTAATTCTTAATTTCATTTTACATTCCAACCACAGTTTTCTCTCCCACCCTTCCTCCTGCCCCCTCTCGCCTTCCCCCAGCTCTTCCCCCTCATCCACTGCTCTCAATGGATAAGGGCTGCTGCGGAGAGTTAACAAAGTCTAGCACATTAAGTTGAGGAAGAAGCAAGCCCCTACCCCCTGCATTAAGGCTGAGCATAGCATCCCATCATAGCGAATGGGCTCCAACAAGCCAGCTCCTGCACCAAGGATAGACCCTGCTCCTACTGCCAGGGGCCCTTCAGATAGTCCAAGCTTCACCAATGTCTCCCTCAAATGGAAGCCCTAGTTCAGTCCCATGGAGACTCCATAGCTGTCGGTCTGGGGTTTATGAGTTTCAACAAGCTTGGTTCAGCTGTCTCTGTAGATTTCTTTATCATGGTAAGTGTTTTTAATTAAAATTAAAATCTTGAAAGAAGTATGGGTTCATTTTGTTGTATTTTCAGGACCTATAGTCTAATTGTTCTAATGTTCTTGTTGAAAAGCAGACTGTCCTAAAGAAAGGGTCTATCAGAAGGCTGATAATCTCATGGTACCCAACAGTATAAAGAGACAAGAAAGAGCAGTATAAGGGATATCTTTCCAAAGTATGCCCTCAAGACCTCCTCAGCATCCTACTACATTCTGTTACCTCCCAACAATGCCATTTTTATCATAACTCCATCAGGAGATTAATTCACTGAGTAGGTGAGAGCCCTCAGTATCCAAATACTGCCAGGTGGGGAACAGGCCTATGACACATGAGGCTTTTGTGGGAATATTTTATATTCAGCTCATAATAGTCAGTGCTCAATATTTTTGGAGAGTCGCCTCACACTGAAAAATCCATAACAATGAATTGCTTTTTCCAGAGAAGTCTACACTGATTGTGGAAGAGGAAAAAGACCCACTAAAACTGAATATGTTCTGAAAAAATGTAATGACTTCCCTGCTTTGGGAATTGGCACATATGAATTCAAAAGGAATCAGGCAATATCTATTATGGCAATAATGAAATGTTTACTTTTCTTTATCTTTTGTATTTTCTTGGGAACCTGACCAATAAAAATTCTACTGTTGGCTAGCATCTTTTCTTGAGAAACCTCTATCGATTTACTAATGAAAATAGAATCAAAACATAAGAATGGTCATGACAAACATTCGCTTTTCCTTGACGTAAAGACTATGAGAAGAAATGGTAACCCTAATTCTGATTCTGATCCCAGACGTGAAAAGCAATTTGAGCAGTAGCTTTCCAACCCTGAAAGATGTTGGAAATTGTTCACAGTCTTTTGATTGAGGGATCATACACCCCTTGTTATTGTCATGCTACTTTCAATGTCTCTCTGGAAGAGGGAGAGATACTTAGACAACACACATGACGTACCTTGGACAATAGCACAGAGCATATACCATATCCGGGCTGTGTGTAAAGAACTATTCTATAATGTACAATGCTTTGCACTTAAAAATCACAGCTAAGAAGAAGGCTGAAGGGCTTGAGGAGTTCGAGACCAGCTTGGGCGACATAGCCAGATTCTAACTCAAGAAAAAAATGAAGACCTATTCTGTCTCTTCCCTCCCCTTACGAGGTTAGTGTGTCCATATGAAGCTGTTCCTAAAACACATCCAGGGATGAAAACCTGTAATGTGGTAGGGGAACAAACCTCTTAAGAGACATTGGAACTGGTATATTATTCGTAACTGGAGAATAAAGTTAAGAAGTTGAAAAATACAAAGCAGGGAGACTAAAGGTGAGTGACATGCGCAGTAAGGATAGATGCTCAGAGCATAACAGTGTGGAGTCTTGTGGCATCACTCAGCTCCAGCATCAACTCCTGGACCACCTACCCATTCTTGGGAATTGGAATACAAGTCTATTGGATGAGACTTGGTTAGTTGCGTTTGTCTTAATTGAGCAGACAGCTCTCCCACTGAGATGGCATTCACCCTTTCTATCCTCATTCTGTCCCAGTGGTAGAGAGACCTGCATCTCACCTCTGTGTTCCCAGGGCTGTTTCTCCACCAAGCACCACCTCTCCCTGTATTTGTAACTTCCAGGTGCATTTAGGTACAATCAGTGCCCTGCGACTCTGATATCCATCCTGACTACTTCAGTACCCACCATCATCTCCAGCACACCACAGTGCACTGAACACCTAATGTGTTAGCCTAACTGGTTTTCTTCTTGCTGTGTTCACGATTCTATAGAAGCTTCTTTTTCATGACTGTCAATGTTCAGAGAAGTGTTGTTCAAAGAAAAAAAAATGGATTTTTCTGAAAGGAATAAGCTTTGCACTACAGTACTCGCCAATTCAATAAGCAAATGCTATGCAAATAATAAACATTTATTTTAAAAGCCTGAGCTGATGCAGGAAGACAGGAAGGATGTCGTTCTGGCAGAGAGAGGCCGCCCGGCATGTCAGATGTAGGGAATAAACTGGAATTAGTTTGTGAGCTGATGACAGACAACTTTGAACATGGCAAAGTGTCTGTGCTCTTCCCTCTGTGGACAATGAGAACTACCACAAGACTGGACTGTGGAAAAACATGTTTCCAGTTGCATTCTAAGGACCTGTAATGAAAACCGAAAGGCAAGGAGTGGAAATCCCTGGATACTGTGATTCTATCAGGTGTGATGTCAGTCACGCAAATGGTGGTAGGAAGAAACATTAGAAATCCAGGCAGACACACGCAAGATGAAACTAAGTAGAACTAACTGGAGGGAAGAGGGTAGGGAAGAAGGCCCTGAGCATTCCTGGTCCGGATGTTGGTGGCCAGAGGACGGAAGAAGGAATGTGTCGAGGACAGTGAGGTCAGCAATAGATTGGGCTTTGGCAAGACGCCGCTCAGAAAGACGTTGGCTCTAAACAGTGGTGGGGAAAGAAACGCTGCTCTGTGAGTCAGCTGCAGAAAACGACAGTCAGGAGGGAGGAACAAAGACAAACTGTAGGAGCCATGACAGCACACACGCAAACATAGTCTGGAAGCGGCTTGTATTTCAGAATGCCTGGGAGGGATAGCCACAGAAAACTTGAGAAAGCACGCTCAAAAATAGAGAAGACTCCCGAAACAGGGCAAGCAAGTTTCAGAAAGGAAGAATGGACTGGTAGGCAATGCAAAAAGGAAAACATCAGCACGGAGAAAAAAAAATCTCTAACATACGTAAATTTTAAAATTCAGGTAGGGCGCAATTCATTGCAGAGGCCTCAGCAGGCATTGCAAGCCAGGCTCGGCTTCATCCTGAGCACCATGAAGGTTAATGTACACCACTTCCTGAATTAGATAAATTGGTGATGGTGTAAGAGAGGATGGGAATTCCTGTGAGGGCCACACTAACAAAAGGTCATATGGACAGAGAACACAATTCCCACTACAACATGACTAATCCACGTCTACGCAAATCATCAGTTCCATCTAGAGTCTGCTGGTTTCCCCACCAATCAACTAAACTAAGGGATCATCGGCCATCGTCTCCTGCTCCCAAAGACTGTTTCCATCCTGTGGGATGAAGCTGTTCATGAGTTCGCTTTCACTGTTTTTGTGGGGCTCAAACCCAGACAGGGCCTCTTCGGAGCTTGGCAAGTGCTTTACCATTGAGTTGTACTCACAGCCTTTAAATTGATTAAAACACGATGTTACTTTGTCTGACTGTCCAGTCTAAATCCATCATCCTTTACTCTGTAGAGCCAGAGAAGAATTTTTTATCAATCATTAATTTTCTTATGAAAATTCCTAGACTCAAAGCGATGTACAAACCAAAGCTTGAGTTTAAAATCCATAATAAAATACATGTGCGTTTTTAAAGACTGAGAGATGCTCGCGAATGTCTTTTAAAAGCCTCATTCCTAAATCACAGAACTATTTTTGCAAAGAAGGGTGTGGTGTGACATTTACTTACCACATTTAGGTACCATTTCTGCCCTACAAAGAGCAGGAATGTATCCAAAAGGCCCAATTACTCTAAGCAAGTATTTCCATGAAGAACATCTGGCTTTTTGGCAGATATGTGTACGGTTAGGTTGATGGCTATTCTGTTGCCCTGAGATGCTCTGCGCTCTCTGACTTAGGCAAATGCCCTCAAGGCTACGCAACAGCTTTCCCTTTTACTCCAGAATACTTTTGACTTGCTCGTCTTGCGAACCCTCTGGTTCTGTTCCAAGATTGGTGGCCATGCTCAGCAGGAGAAGTTTCTTCCACTCTTTCTCACAAACTATACTCCAACCTCTATTCTTTTCCCCTTAGGTATTTTATGTATAAATAAGTACAAGTTATAGTTTGTTAATTATCATCTGTAAGGCTTCAGCGCGGTTCAGTTCTGCTGTTGTCTTGGGACTCCTGAGAGTCTTTCTGTCTAGGGAGCTGGCTATGGATGTCAAATCCCCTTTGATGTTCCCAGCAGCTGTAAATGCCAGGCAGACTATAAAGATATTCACGGGCAACCTCCAAAGCAGAGGAGAAAGCAGAATCATACAATACTAAGTAGAATCTGAAGCCTCAGGACTCCAGAGAATAGAGGAATCACTGTTACTCCTTAACTAAGTAACAAGAAGTGGTGTATTCCAAACAAGAGTCAAAATATAGATGCCTGCAAGAAAACCTCATAATGCCTGCCCGCAAATGAGGATCTGCCTACAAACCAAGGCAACTTCACCTTCACCGGTTGCTGTGATGGGCGATGTTCCTGGATAAGTTAGTGGGCTGAAGATGCATGATGAGATCTCCTAGTTCTAGTTTTGACATAACCTAAA